CAACTTCCGAAGGCAACTTCTGTTCAGTGGGTTGATTGTTCTCCCTGTCAGAAAGTTTCTCCTTATTTCCAGGTTGAATCTCTCCTGGGTCAGTTTCCATCCATTATTCCTTGTCTGGTGCTTTGGAAAATAGCTTGACCCCCTTCCTCCTCTCTGGGGCAGCCCCTCAAATATTGGAAGGCTGCTATCCTGTCTCCCCTGGTCCTTCTCTTCCCTAGACTAGCCAGGCCCAGTTCCTGCAACCGTTCTTCATAGGTTTTAGCCTCCAGCCCCCTAATCCTCTTGGTTGCTCTGCACTCTTTCTAGAATCTCAACCTCTTTTTTAGAATGTGATGAGCAAAACTGGATGCAGTACTCTAGGTGTGGTCTTACTAAGGTTTATAGAGTGTTATTAGTTTCTCCCTTGATATTGATTGTATCCCTCTGTTAATGCAACTTAGGATTGCATTGGCTAGATAGATAGAAAAATAGGTAGATATTATAGATGATAGATAGATAGATAGATAGATTATAGATAGATAGATAGATAGATAGATAGATAGATAGATAGATAGATAGATAGATTATAGATAGATAGATAGATAGATAGATAGATAGATAGATAGATAGATAGATAGATGATAGATAGATAGATAGATAACCTAGAACTCATTGCTTCTGATAGATATATGATAGGTAGGTAGATAGTGACACAGACAGACAGACAGGCAGACAGGTCCCCTCTCTTCCCCTCTGCTCTTGCATTCTCAACCAGTACCTGATCTTACATTGGCTGAGTTCCCAGATCACCCCAGAGAAGACTGAAATGGAGAAAGGCCTTTGGTGGTTTGGCATTTGTGGTTCCACCCACCATCCTCTCTACAGGTCGTGGGAACCCGACCCCCACACATTGTTTCCTCTTGCCCCACGTGCCCTTGTGCTGCTCAACATGTTTGTTCAAAACCACCTAAGACCCCCTTTTTTTCTCCCTTCCTAAGCAATCCTTTATTCAGGGATTGAAGTGGAACACCTTCCATGGCTCCCCAACCTCTTTCCCACCCACCCCCTTCAGTTCTCTCTTTGCTTTTTTTTTTAAAAAGATATTTTTATTTTATTTTAAACATAGACAAACAAAATATAAAACCCCCTCTTTGCTTTAATCTCCTGACTGCGATCGAATGGCTGAACTGTTTCCTGACGGAGCTACAAAAGAGAACGGAATCAAATGAACTCCCAGCGTTCTTTTTTTGCAGCAGAAAAGCCACAAAGCTGTAATTCCCCCCCCCCCTCTCTCTCTTTCGTTTCATGACCCAACTAGAGGACATCATCAGCTAGGAGGGAGTGGGGTTTGTGGAGAGGAGGAGGGGGGAGGAGGAGGAGGAGGAAGGCTTGTGGGTCCTTACTGCTCTCAGACCTTGGTGGTTTTCTTGAAGAATCATGACCCAACTAGAGAGCATCATGAGGGCTAGAAGGGAGTGCAGTTTGCGGAGAGGAGAGGGAGGAGGAAGGCTGTGCGGTCTCTGAGCTTGGTTGTTTTCTCACAGATGTTTCATGACCCAACTAAGGAACGTCCTCAGTGCTATTAAACATCATCAGTACTGTTAATGTTCTCATCACTCCTTATCGCCCATCCCCTTCCACCTGTGACTGTATGACTTTCTGGCTTGTATCCTTACAATTCATATGGACTGTTTCCTAGTATGATTGGATTGCTTATTTGTACCCTATGGCTATCATTAAGTGGTGTATCTTAGGATTCTTGACGAATGTATTTTATTTTATGTACACTGAGAACATTTGCACTAAGACAAATTCCTTGTGTGTCCAATCACACTTGGCCAATAAAGAATTCTATTCTATTCTATATTCTTTCTATTCTATTCTATTCTCTATTCTATTCTGCATTCTATTTTATTCTATTTTCTACTCTAATTATTTCTATTTTCTATTCTTTCTAATTGGGGTAACTGCCAGAATCCTGACACTTAGTGTGATTTGATTGCCTATTGTGTCCTATGACTGTTATTATTAAGTGTCGTATCTTATGATTCTTGACTCTTGACGAATGTATCCTTTCATTTATGTCCACTGAGAGCATTTGCACCAAGGCAAATTCTTGTGTGTCCAATCACACTTGTCCAATAAATAATTCTATTCTATTATTCTTATTCTATTCTTATTGTACCCCATGACTATTATTATTTTTTTAAATAAAGTTTTTTATTTTTAAACACAAACATACACATACAAAAACATAAAAACATAAAATCCTCTTCCATTTCTTGTGTGTCCAATCACACTTGGCCAATAAAGAATTCTATTCTATTCTTATTCTTATTCTCTTCTTATTGTACCCTATGACTATTATTAAGTGTTGCACCTGATGACTCTTGACTCTTGACAGATGTCTCTTTTCTTTTATGTACACTGAGAGCATTTGCACCAAGACAAATTCCTTGTGTCTCCAATCACACTTGGCCGATAAAGAATTCATTCATTCATTCATTCATTCATTCTTTCCTGCCTTCCGCTGAACCTCTGTTTCCTTCTCTCCTTCCCCTAGAAATGCCTGCACTCATGGCCTTGAGGAAACGTGCTCAGGGAGAGAAGCCACTGTCTGGAGCCAAGATCGTGGGTTGCACCCACATCACGGCTCAAACCGCTGTAAGTTACGCCGAAGCGCTCCCCGTCGCTATCCGAGAGGTGGGATCGACTGGTCCAGAAATCCTACCTAGAGAAATCTTCTCCACTTTGGAGACATTGTGTTGGGCTTCACAAGTAGTCCTCAACAGGGGTGGGTGGGATTCTACCGGTTCGGCCCGGTTCGAGCAAACTGGTAGCGCCGAGGACGAGCTGTGAGTGAACTGGTTCGCTCCAACGATCAGCTGTTGGGCTCGCTCGCCTAGGCTGTGCTGATTTTGAAGCTCAGTTGATTCGCGCGGCACAGTGGATGGTCACGCGCAACACACAGGGATTGATGGAGAAGGTCAGTTAGCCAACGCTCTGCGCACGTTCCCCGAACCGGTTATTACACCGGTTGAATCGCACCCCTGGCCCTCGATTTACAGCACTTTGTTCAGCGACTGTTCAAAGTTACCCCTGAAAAATGAAAAAAACGTGACTTGCGACCATTTTTCATACTTACGACCGACCGTTGAAGCTTCCCCAGGGTCCCCGGGATCAAAATTCAGAGGCCTGGCAACCGCTTTGTACTTACAACGGTCGCAGTGTCCCCGATGGCCCCCAGCGTTCCGTGCGCCTTTGGCCGCATTTAGTCCTGCTGGTCACATGACCACAGAGATGTCGTCGGACAGCGCTGGCTCTTCTTTGGCTTTGTAACGGAGATGAGCAGCGCCCCCTAGAGCCCAGGGCCGGAAACGACTAACAGGGAGGTGCGAGGGGATAACCTTTACCTTTAAATAGGAGTTCATGAAACCCAGCCAGGTGGCTTGCCCGAATTGGAGTAGACGGGGTGAGGGTCGGCGTTGAGCAGCCCCGGCCTTTCCCTAGCCCCCTCCTCACCCTTCCCCTGCCTGCAGGTTCTCATGGAGACCCTCGGTGCCCTGGGGGCTCAGTGCCGGTGGGCTGCTTGCAACATCTACTCCACCCTCAACGAAGTGGCAGCTGCCCTGGCTGAGAACGGTAAGGAAGGGTTTGTCTTTCTCGAGGGGTCGGAAGGGGGTGTCCCCAAAGCAAGCTTGGAGGGTGCTGGGACGGGAGGGGCTTGCGAAGGTCTTTCAGGCCAGTGGCTC